TCAAGGTATTTTGATATTTTTGTAATAAACGTTTTGCAGGCTGCAGCAATGTATATCGAGCTTTATATATTTACATGAGTTGTAAAATCACCAATTCGTTTTCTTGAGTAACTTTGTTCTAACTCAGTATTATGTTTGACATTTTTTTTCTTATGTGAGGTTTTACAACTAGCAATGTATACCTTGATCAAACTCGTGACAATAAGTTAGGCGTTTCGGATTTGATTTCTTGCGACATATGGCGTCATGTGACTGTATAGATCTCTGATGACGTACCATAGAGTGAATCTTGAGAGAATATAGGTTTCGTTTCTATGCCGAAACTGTCTCAAATTCAGGGATTTTCGCCATCATTCCACCCTAAAAGAGTCAAAAGCAGAGAGGACACGTTTCCATTCAATTTTTTAAACCTCGCATATATTCAATTATTTCAAAACTGAACACACATATCCAAAGAAGCAAAAGATAGATCTTACTCTTAATCTTTTACGTTTATGTGGACATCATAGAAATTAAACAAACTTTCATTTCCAGTAAATATTATATATCGAGACCTTAACATACCACTCACTATCACTTGCAAAAACATCTAGTTGGTGCAAAAGCGAGGAGGGTCTCTCTTGAGCAACTGTGTTCAGTAAACACTTGATTTTCTCTGTTCCAAGCTTATCCTCAAGCATTCTCCACAACTCTGGAACATGCTGCTCATAAACAATTACATACCAGAATAAAAAAAAAAAATCAATGGATCATTACAAAGTAAACTCTCAAATCTATTTTGGACAAGAAGAGACCACAAATACTTACCTTTGTCAGCCATAGCATGTAGACAGCAGCATGCACTGCTTGAGCTTGAAAATCTTCAAACTTAGTATCTGGAACCGTCATAGAAGATTCTAGAAGATGGATCTCTTTATCAATGAAGGTGACAATTTCTTCATTCATCACCATACTCTGTCCGGTTTCAGATGAATGATTGCGTCCGGAATGCATTATTATCCAATTAAGAGAGAGGAATCGCCGGTGAAGCCATAGTGCCTGATAGAAAAGAGTGTAGCAACACATAATAAGTTTATACTGATTAGGTCATGACAACAAAATGTTCATAACAACTTTATTGTTGCTCATACAATAAATATATTGGTGATTATCTCTACACTAATTGTCAAAGATTATCATACCTCCCGTCCCAAGTAACGTTCTACCAACTCTCTGTTCCAATCAAGCTCTTCCTGTCACATTATTGTAAAGAGTTTTTAAGAGCCATTCAGAATAAGATCGCCCAGCAAAATAGTAAAGTGACAGGAAACCAAAGTCACGGAAGAATACCATCCAGATCTTATGTGCCTTAGTTTTATTATAAGCGTTGCTTCCTTCCACATTATGTGTTTCCAAAACCCTCAGCATCAGCCGCTGCAGATTAATGAAAAAACTATAGTGAGCCACATGGGAAACTTGACCAGTTTCAATAGATTGTATACAAGATCTAACATAATGTTGGCCAAAAATTCGTGACTGCTTTGTTATTAGATTGATGCATACCATGAGTGCCATCATTTTAAATATGCGGCTCTTACTCTGCGATAATGGAAGCATGAACTATCGGCTACATGCAGTCCTGCCCACCTTTTAGATTTATGCAACTCTTGTAGTACCTTAAACAAACGACATATATAATATATAATCCGAATCACAGATAAGAGAAAACTTATGTCAAGTTATGATAACAAAAGTAACCAATTTAATGACATCAGAGAACAGTTCAAAATTTAAGGGAATGGAGCATACGAATGTTCAAAATTTGAGGCCATATGTTCCGGAAATCTGAAAAAAATTGTAGAGAATGAGTTACCTGCTCGGTTGTCATGTAGGAAACCAACCAGCAACGGTGATACCATGCACGATAGTTCATCTTTGATCTCTGCAAATGCCAAATAATTGATTAGGAACAGAATAAGTGACTGTCTGCCATCTTAGAAGAAAGCAAAACATTAACCAAATATGTATATCATGGTAAACCTTCATTATATATAAAGCACAAAACTGATCTATAAACCTCGCCTATTGATTCCACTAGCTCAGACTCTTTGTTGATAATCTCTTGGAGTTGTGGTGAGGAAAAACTCCGAGAAATCATCTTAAGTATCCATCTTCTGTTACAATAAAAACCAAAATATTATGAGCAACACCTATAGGTTTTCTTTTCTTCACTAAGTTATGATGACAGAAGAGCCATAAAAGACGGACCTGTGACTCCATGTTGGCTCACTCTTTGGACAATTAGAAAGAACGAGCCTAGAAAGACAAAGTTCTTCCGTGAATGCCTCCAAGGGTTGATCTTGTTTCGACAAGATCAACTTCCTACAAACAAGATGAGGGGTTAGAAAAAGAAAGCACAAGAAAACAAATGAACTGCTTCATATTCAAAGAACCTGGCGTTCCATGCAGTTCCAAAGTCTGAGCTTAAGAGCAACAGAGCTTGGCTATGTTTCATGACTTTGCTCGCAAGGGAACAACAGACCCCCACATGAGATTTGTACTCCTTAAAGGCAGACAGGAAGGCATGTTTTGCATCTTTACATAACTGGATAAGTATATCTGTTGATATTCCCAGTTTATGATCTTGATTCCAAAAACTTGTTGACGTGGAGGATCCTGCTTCTTTATCCAGCACCATGAACTGTGACGGGTGAATAAACCCAACTTCATCACTTTTGAGAAAAACAAAAACAAAAAAAAGTAAGAGGAAACACTATAGAAAGAAAATCACACTATATACTCACATGAGAGGGTCAGATTCAAGAATATGCTCGAACTGATTCAACAAGTCGAAGCAGACTTGTTCAGAGCATGATGATCCTTGTCTCATTTTTTTTTGTCAGATTTGGTCGGATTATTACAGTGAACTTCACAGACCAGCAGCTGTGTAAAACCAGAAAGAAAGATGAACAAGTGAAGATCGTGTGGATAAATCAAGTTATGTCATTTTAAGTCCAAATCAAGTTATTACTAAGTCCAAAATCGAGTTCTCTAAGCCAGGGAAAAAAGAAATTCAATAGGCAGATAGATACTTTTCAGGTTCTTCTGATTTTGATTGGATCATAAAACTGGAATTCAGACACACCAAGTGCGCAAAACTAATCATCTTCTGATTCCAAAAAAAAACAAAAACGAAATCGTACCAGGAAAGATGAAACCACTCTCTTCAAAATCCAAAGAAAGAAGGAGAATATTTTGAGGAATAGTTGTGGAGAAAAAGAATTGAAAAAAGGTTAAAGGAAGGAGATGAGTCTTCGTAGCTTCAAGAGAAGGCGTTATTTTGGAAGACGGGCATCGTGTTGTGGTGGTTTGAGTACGATGTGAATTAGGCCCCGGCTCAAACTTTGTGATTCGGATCCCTATGACTGTCACACCACGAAGGAAAGTTCACTCTATTTTTCAATTTGTGTTGGTTTTTTTTTTTTTTAAGGAAAACTAGATTTTGATCAGGAATTTTCAAAAACATAAACTTTTTATGATTAAAATTTTATCTAATTATGTTTTGTCTTAATTTAAAAAATGTTTTGGTATAAAATCTTTTTTTTTTTTTAACACTTGAACATGTAATACTAATCTTTAGGATACAAAGCAAAAATTCAGAAATTAAATATGATGTCAATAGACACCACACAAAACAAGGAGAAACAAAAAGAAAATCCCATCCACTCCCATTATTGTCGAGTTTCCATAGTGAGTAAATGCTGAAGCCAAGCCGGTGCATTCGGGAGTCGTATGATTGGGATTGACCATTCCGGGTGAGACAAAACTCATTGCTGAGCCTCCAAAGCGAGTAGATGATGAAGCCACACCGGAGCATTACGGGCGATGTATGATTGATGTCGAAGGTCGCGCGTGACGCTCAAAGCAATTGCCGCTGCAGCTTCATTGCGTTCGGGAAGGGCATGATCCAAACTCCATGAATCAATCCTTGTAAGGAGGAAGAAAATGCTGTGACGAATATGGCTGAGGCTAAGATAATTCGTCGTGGTAAGAGCATCATGTAGGGTTGCAGAGGCAGTCTCGAAAATAATATTCGAGAAATGTAGAGTATGCAAACAATCGACTGCCCAAAAGAGAGCCCACAAATCTGCCTCTGTCTTTGAGCGCATACATGAGTAAGCACGCCGGCTATGTAAGATTGTGGACCCTTTTTCATCCCGAAGGATCCAAGAAGCACCCGCGGTATGGCTTGAATGCACTCACGAAGATCCAACATTACATTTGAGGAAACCAATAGGTGGTTTTTTCCATTTAATGGTTTCCGAAACAACCTCATTACCTCCATCCTTCCTACCAGTGAAAGTATCAAACCATGTGGATTCTTCTTCATAAGCTTTACTAGCAATGAAAGATGCCTCTATCCTCTTAGACTCAAAGACGAAAGCGTTTCTAGCTTTCCAAATTTCCCATAACAACCATGGGAAAACGTTCCTTGTATGAATATCCATAGAGGGGCTCTTGTGAATCTTGATCAAGTGCACAAAATTTAAAAAAGTGGAATTCCGAGAAAAACCTCCTAATGGTACTGGAAAATTGGAAAGCTCCCATGTTTCTCGTGCTTTATCACATGTAAAGAGAACATGACAGATACTTTCCGGACCATTACCACAAACAGAACAATTGGTATAAAATCAGTTAACCAAAATTTGTGGTGATGATTGTTTTTCATTAGTTTTTAGTTTCAGTTTTTATTTTTAGGGGGTGTTATTCAATTAGTGATTAAAAATCAATTTTAAGTATTTACAATCTATCAGATTTTTAAATTTTAAGATTGTTAAAGTTGATGGATTCTAAAAGGACAATTCTCTTAAATAGCCATTTTAAAGTTTTTATCACAAAATAGACCTCAAAAATTAAAATGACCAAAATATGACTTTTTTTTGAAAATTTTAAGTTTTTTTTTTAATTTTTTTTTAAATTCGAAACCCTATCCGCAAAATCCCACTCTTTAACTCTAAACAAAAAAAGTCTAGGATTAGTTAACCCAAGAGTATAAATGTATATTTAATAAAACATTTAAGTGCTATTTTGGTCATTTTAATTGTTAAGGTCTATATTTGTGATAAAAAAAATTTTAGGTCTATTCTAGTCATTTTCTCATTCTAAAATCTCTACAATACTCTTTGGATTTTGAGTTTAAACATTTATTCATTAGAATCTATCACTGATGATTTGAAATCCACTTATATTACAAAGAATTTTAAAATCCTTAAAAGTTGAATAACACCAAATTTTAAAACACGAAATTCAATCATAGATTGAATAACACTGAATTTTAAAATAGAATTTAGAATCATCAATTGAATAACAGTGGATTGTGTTTAGATTTAAACTCTTTTAAAATATAAGATTGAATAACACCATCTTAGATTCTGGTTTTGGGTTTTTGGATTTTAGTTTTTAAGTTTCTATTTTTGATTTTCATCTTTTGATTTGAGTTTTCTAATTTTTAGATCTACTGAGTTAGTTTGAACTGATATTACCAACAAATAAATCTCAAATAATCGAACATCTAATTTAAAACTGAAAAGATGACAATTTAAAAAAAAAAATTGCAATAATTTATTTTGTAAATAAATAAAAGCAAAAAATATAACCTGCGTTTTCAGCTTTTTGTTTTGGATTTTAGTTTTTAGAATTTGTTTTTAGTTTTGCTTTACATTTTCTTTTAAATCAGTAAATTATTTAAGAAAAATAAAACAATAAATTATTTAAAAGTTACCATTAAAATTTATCAAAACAAAGTGATTGTTATTTAAAATAAAAAATACTTTAACATGTTTTAAAGTATATGATTTAAATAAATGATTAATAATAGAAATTTTGTTTTGTTAAAAATATTAAATACTTTTGGGCCTAAAAATAATAATTGATTTTTTGACTCATTAAAGTCGAAAATTTATTCAATGTTTTTGGAGTTTTTCTTTAGTACTAAGCCTAAAAACCAAATCACATCATTTGTCCTAAAAACAATAGTAAACCCTAGATTATATCCCATAAATAATCACCGTTTTAATTTAAGCAATATGGTTCAATCAAACTATATGAGATGTATTATTTGTAACACTCTAGAAAGAGTCCAAATTTAAATGACAATTTGTATTAATAAACAAAAAGAAGGATTCTATTTTAATAAAATAGAGTAGATTAGAAAAGAAAAAAAGATATTTTGAACTTTTGTTTGTCACAATAGAATTTTTGATGGAACTTTTTTGATCGACTCATTCTGGTCATCTATCTGATCTAGAAATCGTATACTAAATATTATATGTTGATATATTCAGTGTATATAACACAAATAAAAATTTCTTGTATATTCTATCTAAAGCTAAAATTCGTTAGATTATCATCTAGCTAGATATCGTTAATCTATTTACAATTTTATTACTTCTTATAGCCACAACTCTGTGATGTACATATTCTTATTTATATGTCATAACATGTTCTATTTTTTACTTTGTGTGACACTTAAGGAAGAATAGGTTTCTCATTCACTCTACAGTAATCTGCCTAACGTATGATACATATTGATGCACCAGCATCATCACTTGTGGCTCCAACTTAAACAATCAAGATCTTTTAAACCTATGTTTTCATTTTTTTCTTTATTTCCTTTTTCATTATTAGTTTGGGTTTTAAACATAGTTTTGTCTTCATTTTTGGCACATTTGATTTAATAAAAAAGAGCTTTTCCTTTATACTTTAATTCGATTCGATTCAATTCATCTAAATAAGAAGTTGATCTCAAGAAGCTATCTCTGGATACTCTTGATCGATCCAAGAACAGGTCTCGAACAATCGTAAATTCTTAGATTGACCATTCAACCATTCGTACGCTACGCCAGGTTGGTATCAGAGCTTTGCTACGCTCTGAAAATTTCGCAACTCAGTTACAATGGTCCAGAAAACACATAATAACCAATAAGTGGAAGAAGATACCCCTGCAACTCAACAATCCATCACCAAGTTACACCAACTCGTTGCAAACTTAAGCACTGCAGTAACAACACTTGTGACTCAACAAAACACCATCGCAGCCGCCCTTACAAATCGACCTCGTCGCAACGATCAAGTATCCGTACACGAAGACTCCGACGAAGACAATTCCTTTGCTCCACTCCGCCAACAACAAGCTCGCCGTCGCAACAACAACAACACCTCTGATTCAAATTCATACGATGAACAAACCGACTTGTCATGGAAGAAGAGCTTCAAACTAGAGATACCAGAATTCAAAGGTTCAATAAACACAGAGAAATTATGAGATTCGTTCGTAACTGTCAAAGAGATTCTGGAATTTTAAATTCATACGATGAACAAACCGATGTGTTCCTTTAGTTGTCATTCGTTTTCGGGATCGAGCGGTAGTTTGGTGGTACCAAGTTAAAACTACAGGTGCTCGGTTAAGAAAATCAAAAATAACGTCATGAGATCAACTGTAGCGTGAGATGCAAAAAAAATTGTTTGCCTTATAATCTGTTTAGTTGATGTTTCAGAGATTTCAAAACCTAAGACAAGGTTCTTATACCGTTGACGAGTACGCAACCAAATTCTGTAAGATGATAAATCGCGTGGAAGTTAGAGATACGTAACAATAAATCATGATGCGGTTTATAGGTGGATTACACCAACAGATTCAATTTACATTGAATCTCTTACACCCTCAGTCCATATCAGAAGCCCACCAGCAAGCTTTAACGGTGGAAGCTCAATCTCCTAGTGGTTTTTCAACGTGGGGTACCAATAGACAGCCTTTATCTACATCAAATCCAGCCTAGAGAAATTAGACCATGCTCATGGGTCTTGAATCATGGAAACTAGGTTCTTGCACTAAGTTCCAAAAGTCTGACGCATCGATAGCTGAAACATGCACTCAATCGCCCATGAGAGGGCTTCAAGCTCTGTATGAAAGGGTGAGATTCTTCGCCGCTGGTTTTGTGCTCCCATAAATTGTGTTATTCCCGTAGGAGTTATCCATGTCCATCCATAACCACTGAATAGTTCGTCATGTGTCCATGATCCATCTATCATGCATCTCTCAGAATTTATTACATGTATAGGATTTTTATAACTTTTGGCTCTTCATCTTTGCGATTTGCTTCAAACCAAGAACGACATTTTGATTCAGCATGACATACAATTTTCAATGAGTCTCTATCTATTCCTTTGAATAATTTATTAATTTCTCGTTTTTCCAGTTTACCACATAATCTATGGGTATAGATCTTTATCCAACTTAGAATCTTCTATATCTTCTATATCATTTTTTTCCAAAAAAAATAATCTATGTTTGTGTAGTGGCTTGCATTAAGAAACCTTTTTGTTGGGTTGGAGTTACTGCATGTGCCCATATATGTAGAGCTGGAAGACATTTGAAGATTCCATGGTTTATAGTTTCATCCTCTGGGATAGTGATTATCGACTATCGTATCGCATAAGACAATGTATAAAGTTGCTTGTCACTGCTAGTTGTCAAAGACTGTTTGTCAAATGAAATTGTCAAATGAAATATTTTAGCTTTGGAGGAGCTTGTATCTTTCAAACAAAGATTTGTAGTTTAGTAATACTCGGTTCATCCTGGAGAGTTCTACCGTCTCCCTGTTTAGAAAGTTTCTGGACATCCAATATTCTAATTTAACAGTGTACATCCCATTTTTCGTGTAGCTCCAACAGTACTCATCTCGCTAATATCCTTGATTTGTGGCCAATGATTGAATCGGTAGGATATCTTCCGGATTAATTAGTTTGTAATTGATGGAGATTGGGCCCTTGGACTTTACTTGTTACCCATTTGAGTTTTCTAATTCGAAACGTGAACCGAACCAATGGTAAGAAAAGCCAAAAAACCCATCGCATCGGTTGGCGCGAAAATAATAGAGAAGGAAAGAAAGAAACCCTAATTTATGCACATTAAACCGGTTACTCATTCCTAAACCCCTCCTTCCTCTTCTTCCATTCTCTTCTCGATACCCCCAACCATGACGATGCTCCGATCTCGCGAAATACCATCGGTCTCCGGAAAGCCACGCTCTAAAGGACACTCCTCCGACACCATCCAGCCGTCCTCTCCCGCTCCGAAACAAGGGCCAGCCACTTCCACCACTCCCCGGAGGCGAAGTCCTCGCCTTGAATCACTGTATGAGAAAGAGGTTAGCATCCCAGTTTCTAGGGAGATAAAATCAAATGTTGGTGAAAGAGTCTTGAGTTTACGGTCTGGTAAGAAAGTTGCTAAATTCAGCGGGAGTGGCTCCAGAGAGTTGGATGTAGAAGTCGAATCAGAGGGAAAGAAGGTTTGCTTATCTGATGATGATGATTCCATTGAAAGAAGTGGGAGTAAACGCAAGAGGGTTTTGGTTGAAGACACTAATGTAGCGAGTAAGGAATTGGATAATAGTAGAGTTATTGTCGATGAAGAAAAGGGAAAGACAGTGGTGGCTCATGTTTCAGTAGATCAGACTAGGGACAAAGGAAAGGGCATAGTGGAAGATTTAGGCCAAGCCAATGATTTGGAGAGTAGAAGAAAGTATACAAGGGAGGAGAAGGGTAAGGGTATTCAGGTGGAGGATACCACAAGCGTTGTTGTCCAAGAAATGGAGATGGAAATGGAAATGGAAATGGAAATGGAAATGGACAACTCCATGAACATTGAGAACCCACCTGTAACAGACTCATCAGTTAATGCAACAAATACACAGATTCAAAATGGAAATGGTTCAAGAAGTCAGCACTTTCGTGACTTTGCAGAGAAAAACGCTTCAAGGTTTGCTCGTTTCGATGTTGAAACGGACGACGAAGAAGATGAATTGTCATCAGATCTAGAGGTTGAACAACAAGTGGAGGATTGGCCTGGCCCTTTCTCCACCGCCATGAAAATCATCAAGGACCGAGAAGAAGACAGCACCACGATTCTGCATAGTGGTGTTCCTTTCTCCTCCCACTTAGAAAGATCTTCTCCAATTGTTTGGGCTCCCAGAAGAAGAAGCGACACTACTTTCTCTCCTCCCAGGGCGGCTCCATCTCTGCAAGAACTATCAATGCAAGTTCTTGTCAAGAACGCTGATGCCATCACTTCTCTTGACTATGTTCCAGACCCACTGAGGGTTAAGCTTTGTCAGTTGCTTTGTGATTCCAGAAGGATGAACTTACATTTTCTCCATCTTCTTGTCCGTGGTTCTCCAACTGCTATCTGTGTTCCCGATTGCTCGTGGCTCACCGAGGAACACTTCACTGAATGTTTTAACAACTGTGACACCACCAACTTGATGGTACCTCACTCTTACTATTGAACCTTCTCAGTATTATTCTTAAGTAGTTCATTTGCTATTGAACATATGTGATTATATTTGTAATTAAAAGTCTTTTTTTGATACAGGTTCTTCAACTCGACCAGTGTGGGCGTTGTATGCCAGATTATGTACTACCCTCTACTTTAGCAAGGTCACCAAAAAACTTACCGATGCTGTCTTCACTATCTTTAAGTGGAGCATGCCGACTTTCCGATGTGGGGCTACGGGCACTTGTTTCCGCTGCTCCTGCGATTAGATCTATCAATCTCAGCCAATGCTCTCTTCTAACCTCATCTAGCATTGACATGTTGTCTGATTCATTGGGGTCGGTTTTGAGGGAACTGTATCTCAATGAGTGCCAGAGCATCGACCTGAAGCTTATTCTGACAGCATTAAAGAAGTTTGAGAAGCTCGAAGTACTGTCTCTTGTGGATCTTCCTTCAGTCAGGGGTCGGTTGTTGAGGGAGTTTGTTACTGCTAGAGGACAAGCCCTGAAACAGCTAATTCTGACCAACTCTGTGTATGTTTTTGAATTTTCCTCATCCATTCTTGTTTCGATTCGGTTTTCCTGAATTTAGCTTTTTTTACATATTTGCAGGAAATTAACTGACTCTTCTATAAAAGACATCTCTGAGAACTGTCCTAATTTAAGCGTGCTTGACCTGGCTAATGTATGCAAGCTGACGGATTGCGCTCTTGGTTACCTTGCAAATGGTTGTCATTCTCTCGAAAAATTGATTTTTTGTCGCAACTCTTTCAGGCAAGTCTCTTTAAAACTTTTATTTTATGTTGGTGCAAGTTCGCCATTTATATGGTAACGCAGCCTATTATATATACAAGGACATGATCATGAGGTTTCTAAGGCTTTTCAAAAAAAAATTGTTAATGTCTTAGAAACTTGGGATGTTACTTCGTTAGAGTACTGGGGCAAATGCAATATGTTGTTATTCTAGGAGACGTTATCAGTTATCTCAATTTTCAGACAATACACATAAGGCCTGTTGTTATGGTATGTGTGCTTGCTGTGTTGAATGGCAAAGTTGACCAGATACTTTTATGTTTTTCTCTCTTTTCATAGCGATGAAGCTGTAGCTGCGTTTGTAGAAACCTCAGGGGGTTCACTGGTGGAACTTTCATTAAACAACGTCAAGAAGGTAAATGTGTCTCTTTCTCCTCATACCAAACGATCCAAAGAGCCTTAAGTCGCAATAACACATCTGTGTTTATGTTTTCAGGTTGGCCACAACACGGCCTTAGCCCTTGCTAAATTTTCAGAAAAGCTGCAGATTCTGGATGTTTCCTGGTGCAGAGATATGTCCGACGATGCACTAGGCTACATTGTCGATAGCTGCTCATCTCTGAAAGTGTTGAAAGTGTTTGGATGCACTCAGGTAAGTAAATATAAAAGCCTCAAGATCCCCTCTCTTCTTTGTAAATGATAGGAACAGACCTTGACTAGAAAACCATTTTCTTTCTCTTTTTGCAGATTACGGACGCATTCATTCGAGGTCACTCGAACCCTAATGTTAAGATCTTAGGTTTGAAGATGGATCCCTTCTTGGACCGCCTTGCAGATAACTGAAAAGGCCCTAATCTCTCATCTCCCTGCTTTGTTTGTTTTAGGAGGAGGATAGCAGAGAATGTTTTACTGTTTTTTGTCTGAACATGCACCTTTTGCAAAACTCATTTCATTATTTAGGTTCAAACAAGTTTCGGTTTTAACTTTTAGAAAGAAAAAAGAAGTATTTTTTGATCAGTCATTTCGGTTTGTTTAGAATAAAAAATGTGCAACGTAAAAGTCCAAAGCCTTTCCAAGATGTTTGTGGTTTCAATCCAAAGCTTAATGTAAATTTATCTATAACAATCGTACATGAAACTTTGAGTTACTACACACATTCCACATTAGACATTACATGATATAGAAATGTATAAATAATCAGTCCTGCGGTTTTGGTTCTACCATATCCCATTCTCCAAAATTTAAAAGTAAAGAAAGGGAAGAGAGATAACACACATCGTTTCTAGTGAGTTATCTTGTGTACTGGAGCAAGTATGTATCACGGTATCACCTGATGATTCTGTCTGTCCAATTCCAACGACCTGGTTCCATAACACAACATTTATGTGTCAAGTCCCAAAAAATCAATTTTCAGAGTAATGAATTTGATGTTTCTTTTTTTTACCTCGAAACCAGTCTTCTGGTATAGTTCCTGAGCAACTAAATTGTTTCCATTTACATCAACATATACTTGCTCAACTCCTGCACAACCAAATACATCCTCACATGGTGTAGATCATTCTCTCCAAAACGTTCAAACAGTTTAAGCTACAATCATGAATGCTTTTTTTTATCGTTCCGTTTTAACAATGTTAGGGCATCTCCAACCATAACACTAAATTTGGTGTTAAACTTTTTTTTTTCATCTCCAATCATCACACCAAATTCTACACCAAAAATTTAATATTATTAATTTGTTTGTTTTGAGAATTTAATACATTTTTATAATTGACTAATTATATTTATCAAATTTAATTTTTATATCTATTTTTTAAAAATCTACTAATTTCATATTTATGTTTATTAATATATGTTATTTCTTTTAGTTAATTTGTATACTTATTTATTTATTCTATAATAATCTTCTTCAAAATTCAAATTTACATATTTAAATTATTTTTTATTTTTATAATTTAATGTAATTAATAATACTCATTTAATTATATTATTAATTAAAATATAAATACAATAATAGTTTAAAGTTATAGTAATGTGGAAATAAAAATAAAACACAGAAGTAATATGATATATTCTTTTCAACTGTAAATTCAATCTAATTAATAAAATTAATCTATTTATAATTAAATAAAATAATAAAATATATTATTTTAATATTTGGTGTGATGAATAGTATTACACCAAATTTGGTATAACACTATTCACTTTACACCAAATTTGGTGGGATGATATAATTTTTGGTGTTTCATTGTAGATAACATCACACCAAATTTGGTGTTTTGGTGTCTCATTGGAATTGAACTTATTACCACTTAGAGTCTGACTGGTTGAAACGCGGCGGTTGCGATTGCGGTTGCGGGAGTTTGCGGATGTGGGTGGTTGCGGTTTCTAGCGTTAATAGGCGATTTGTACGACTGGTACAGCGATTAAAAACTGGTGCGTTTGCGGTACATTTATGACTGGTTGATTATGAGATACTACAGCGGTTCAATAATAAATTTCCAATATTAACAAATTATAACATTATAAAAATAGCAAAACATACTGTTATGATAAAAAAATAATAACTATTAATATATTATAAGTAATAACAATATTATTTTTATAATTTTATTTAGATAAAAATATAATATTATAATATAATATAA